GGGGGGAGCCCAGCAGCGCTAGCAGACAGCAGGAGGGAATTGGGGATGGATTCCGTGTCCCTCCTTCCCTGCGACCACAGCTCCAGCCGGATGCCGGCCCGTGGGCGCTGCGCTCTGGGGAAACAAAGTCCCCGTCCGTGGCTGGTGGGGAGCCATGGATGTTGCCACGACAACGCCCCCCTGAACAGGCGTCAGTCAGTGGGCACGGGGCTCCGCCAGGGAGCGATGCCAGGTTGCATCTGGCCTTCCTGGAGACCTGGTTTCCCTGCCCTGCTCCGGCGCTTGCCCCAGGACGAGCTGTGGGATTGTGGGGCTCCCCCTCTTCCTCATTCTCCGCATACCAGGCTCAGCAGCCACCCCCGCGGACCATGGGGGGAGGCAGGAGAGATGACAGCCCCCTCCTGGAGGCTGCCCCGACGAGCAGAGCCAAGCTCGGCGCCAAGTCAGCACCGTTCGGGCCGTGCCGCCCGCTGGGGCGCCCCTCTTGGCTTGGAGTGTTGTGGGCACAGGACAGCCCCTCGTCCACCCACGGCCACCAGAGGAGGGGGGAGGATGGGAATCGTGGTGGCAGGTATGCTGGGGGGAAGGAACAGCCTTCCCAAACCGCCAGCCTGGCCCTGCCCATAATTTTCCCCTTGAGAATGCCTACCAGGGGCAGAGGGGCAGGAGCCATGCACCCCACCCTCCCTGTGCTCCATGGGCTTGCCTCCCCCAGCCCTACCATCACCCACCGCCCATGATAGGACAGCTCCCACCTTCGGGCCTAGCTCCACGGAGAGGGAAGGGCAGACCCCAGGCCTAGACCCTCCCCACAGCTGGTCCCCATGCCCACTGCACGGCGGCAGAAATCCACTGCACGTGCATCTCCTCCCTAGCTTGCCCAGTCCAGACCAGGGGGGTGCGCTCCCCAGTTCCCCCCCAGCAAGGCAGCCCCAGGTGCAGCAGAGGTGCTGGCAAACCCTGGCGAGCGCAGGGGGAAAGACACCGGTTCCCAGGCTCTTCCAGCCAACAGAAACACAGCCACTCGCAGGGGACGCTGGCCCAGCCCAGGCGTAACTCGTTAACCCTGTCATGGCTGGAATAACACAACAGGGCACAGAGAGACTGGGGGAGGAGGAGGTATGTGTGGGGGGGGGACAGACGAGGCGCCTAGGAGCCAATGGGAATGGGGGACATTGGTGTGAGGGGGAGGAGAGGGTGGGAAGGGAAGAGAGGAGACGCCACGAGGAGGCAGCTGGCACTGATTAGGCAAAGGGACGTGGAACAAGGAGCCAAGGGGTGGAAGGGTGAATTAGGGGGGCCAGGCAAGAATTGGGATGGGCTCTGTCAATAGAATGGGACAAGGAGTCAGAACCAATGTTCCCTCTAATTTTTCCCCTCCCTGTGCAGAATAAATTTTGTTCTGTGCACCCAGGCATGTGCGGACGTGCACCACCAGCAGAAACACACGTTGCCAGCTATGGGCGCTCTGCCAATCATCTGGGCAGCACATGAATCTCTCCTGGATGGCCACCCAAGCCCTGAGCTTCCAGGGAACACAGGTCAAGAGTGCCGAGACAGGACAGGAACAGGTCAGAGGGGAACGGGCAGAAGTCTGCGCCCACTGCAGTGCACGGCCCTCCCAGGCCTGGAACGGCGCCCCAGGTGCCTGGTCCATCTGGGGGATTGTAACAGGGGGCACAACCAGCCCCCCTTCTTCACAGGGTTACTTCCCTCCTCTTACAGGAAGAGTCAGTCCTCAGCTAGGAGGCCTCCAGCTTCCTCCCTGCCTGCCACTGGCAGCGGCTGTGCTCCTTCCCAGTCCCCATAGTCCCGGGCTCGTCGTCACGCTGCAGGTGTTGCTGATCTCAGGCCGCCATCAGGCCTTTCCAGCAGTTCCCCTTGATTGCAGCTGACAGAGCCGGGGCTACTTAGGAGTTCTTGCACCAGCATCCGGCTACAAGGATGCCAGCCTACTACTGCTACCAGTCACTGAGAGCTCAAGCGGCAGAGGTCTGCATGGTGGACTAAAGCTTCCATACTGCCTTTAATGACAGAATCGCACGTGCGTGCCTGTGTATGTGTGTGCACAATACTACATAAAACAGAAAGACTGGATCCCATACGTGTGTGCGTGTGTGTATATGCAATACTACATAAAACAGAAGGACAGGATCTGATACGTGTGTGTGTGTGTGTGTATACGCAATACTACATAAAACAGAAGGACAGGATCTGATACGTGTGTGTGTGTGTGTGTATACGCAATACTACATAAAACAGAAGGACAGGATCTGATACGTGTGTGTGTGTGTGTGTATACGCAATACTACATAAAACAGAAGGACAGGATCTGATACGTGTGTGTGTGTGTGTGTATACGCAATACTACATAAAACAGAAGGACAGGATCTGATACGTGTGTGTGTGTGTGTGTATACGCAATACTACATAAAACAGAAGGACAGGATCTGATACGTGTGTGTGTGTGTGTGTATACGCAATACTACATAAAACAGAAGGACAGGATCTGATACGTGTGTGTGTGTGTGTGTATACGCAATACTACATAAAACAGAAGGACAGGATCTGATACGTGTGTGTGTGTGTGTGTATACGCAATACTACATAAAACAGAAGGACAGGATCTGATACGTGTGTGTGTGTGTGTGTATACGCAATACTACATAAAACAGAAGGACAGGATCTGATACGTGTGTGTGTGTGTGTGTATACGCAATACTACATAAAACAGAAGGACAGGATCTGATACGTGTGTGTGTGTGTGTGTATACGCAATACTACATAAAACAGAAGGACAGGATCTGATACGTGTGTGTGTGTGTGTGTATACGCAATACTACATAAAACAGAAGGACAGGATCTGATACGTGTGTGTGTGTGTGTGTATACGCAATACTACATAAAACAGAAGGACAGGATCTGATACGTGTGTGTGTGTGTGTGTATACGCAATACTACATAAAACAGAAAAAAACCCAAACCCATTAGTAACTGACAGATTCAGACACCAAAACATTCCAGTATTTGTGGTTGCATCCGTTTGTCACTCTACACAAACACACACTCATCCTGTCTCTTTTATCTCCCTCGCCCACATTGGTAGCATGGGAGGTGATGCCGTGTTTGTCTCCAACAGTGGGGCTGCCAGTTCCCACTCTGCTGTTTTCCCCTGCCTCCTCGGGCCCAGATGTCTCTGGTGCTGTGGCCATTAACTCAGCAGGGGTGAGCAGGAAGGGGAGAAGATGGAGAGGGAAGAAACCAGCCTGAAGAAAAGAAATTCAGGTCACCACCGACAAACCCAGCTGGGATTCCGCTGCAGGCATTATTCAGAGAACGCTAAAGCTGGAAGGGACCTCGAGAGGTCACCAAGTCCAGTCCCCCGCCCTCACGGCAGGACCAAGCACCATCTAGACCATCCCTGACAGGTGTCTGTCCAACCTGCTCTCAAATATTTCCAGAGATGGAGAGTCCACAACCCCACTAGGCAATTTATTCCAGTGTTTAGCCACCCTGACAGTGAGGCAGGTTTTCCTAATGTCCAACCTAAACCTCCCTTGCTGCAGTTTAAGCCCATTGCTTCTTGTCCTGTCCTCAGAGGTTACAGAGACTGATGTTTCTCCCTCCTCCTTGTAACACCAAAAGGGTGTTTAAAAGGTACTTAAAAGAGGTACTTGAAAACCGCTATCATGTCCCGTCTCCTCTGTTCCAAAGGAAACAAGCCCAGGTCTTTCAGTCTTCCCTCCTAGCTCATGTCTTTTAGACCTTTAATCATTTGTGTTGCTCTTCTCTGGACCTTCTCCAGTTTCTCCCCATCTTTCTTGAAACGTGGCTCCCAGAACTGGACACACGACCCCAACTGAGGCCTAATCCGCGCAGAGTAGAGCGGGAGAACGACGTCTCGCGTTGTGCTCACCACGCTCCTGCGGGTACAACCCAGAATGACGTTTGCTTTTTTTGCAACAAGTGCCCCACGGTCCTGTCTGAGCAAAAAGCCTTCTCCCCAGACAGGTTTTGAACGCCGGCCAGCCAGCTGGCTGCTGCCTCCCTGTGGCCAAGCTCAGAGGCCGGTAAGGGGGCGACTCTGGGTGGGTACTGACAAGGCAATTCTCAAGGCAGAGCGGAGGGGCTGGGCATGGGAGGAGCTGAGGTTGCCCCGACTCCTGCCTGCCTGGAGCTCCGGCTGCAGTTAGGGCTGGGGCGGGGAGGCGGGGGAGCTGTGAATAAGGAGATGGAGTCTCTAGGGCAGAAACACACATCACGAGGCCCCGCGCTCACTGTTCCCGTTCCAGCTGGAGCCCCGCCCCAGGATGTGAGCGGAGTCTTCCCGGGGAGCCCCACTCTGACCTAGCTTCACCTCCCTGGAAGGGGACACCCCTCCTCCTCCCCTCAGCACCCCCCTCCTGCCAGCTGGGCACCCCCCGACGGCAGGAAACTCGCTGGAAACTCTGGCAGGAGAGCGGTGCCCCGCAGGGCGCGGGGGGAGGGAGCAGCGTTTGGTGCGCTGCTGGTGTCCAAATATTTCCGCAGCCAAGTGCCGCCCCAGCGCAAACAGGGCAGAGAAAGGCAAGGCCAGCGGGAGGGGGCCGGGCCAGCGTGTCGGAGCACGAGAACAATCCGGAGGGGAGGGAAAACTTCGCGCTGGGGCTGAGGCAGGGATGAGTCACGGCTATAACACAGAGCAGGGCCTGGCGCTGCCCCAAGGACAGGAGAGGGAGGGAGGGATGCTAGCCAGGGAGGGAGGAAGGATTCCAGCTGATCCCCAGCTGCTCTGCTCTTTCCAGGC